TTTTAGTCATTTGGAGGCGTATCCCCAGATGCCCATCCAGTCTAAGAACATACAGGTATCTCCCCCTCTTTTACAAAGTTCACTTTATGCCACTTTGGTTTTATGAAGGACCTATATAAGTACCTATTTTCACTAAATGAAAGAAATCTGAAGAGGGTTTTTGCTTTTGTGAAAAAAGGTGAAAAGCGAAAATAGCATTCAGCGTTTATTTTACAGTGAGTGGCTATGGAGGCAGTGCCTCCCTGAGCAGCGAGAGTGGCATCCCAAGCTCCTTCTCTGGGAACTACACTCAGCATCTCAGCATCAAGCTACCATAGCTTTGAACTGCGTCTGTGAACATCTGTGCTTTATCTTGATTTATTTTGTGCATCTGTTAGTAAGATGTGTCCTAAGATGGTTGCTTCTTTGCCTTACACCATTTCAGCTTACAAAAGGTTTCATAGGAACTCTCTGTACATACATTTGCTTTGTGTAATTTTAAAAAATAAGAATGAGGAGCTTTTTTTTTTTTTTTCCAGTGCGCAGGCCTCTCACTTTCATGGCCTCTCCCGTTGCGGAGCACAGGCTCCGAATGCACAGGCTCCGCGGCATGGGGGATCTTCCTGGATCAGAGCACGAATCCGTGTCCACTGTAATGGCAGGCGGACTCTCAACCACTGCACCACCAGGGAAGCCCAAAGAGCTTCTTTGACAGGACTACTCTATGTGAGCTGAGGTACTGAAAGGCCAGCAAAGCCTTCAATATGGGAAAGTCCACAAACTTTCTAGACCAGGTTTCCTACAGAGAGATTGGCTCATTGGGAAGCTATTCTCCTAAGCAGAATTACTCTATATTTTAATGTGAACATTTGTTTTAGATGTAGATAAAGCCAGTTTCATGCTTAGTCATGAATAGAGAGATTTGGAAACAAATCACACTATGGGGCAAAGTAGGGTCAATGAATGGGGTTGTCATTTAGACAAGTCCATAGATGGGGTGGGGTTTTCTTTTCAGGGAGCCCTTTGAACAGGATGAGAGGTTCAGTTGGGGACAGTCACCTTAAACTGAATGAACTAGCACTAGTTTTCGAGCTTTATTTAGAATATTCAATAGAGACTGGAAACTGTCCACAACACCTTATTCTTCCTTAGTGAGTTGAGCAAAGGAATGAAACACTGAGGCAGTCCTGAGGCTTATGGGCAGGGAATAAGGCAGGCTCCTCATTTGTGGGTATCTGAACTTGCAGTGAGTCCTTGGTCACCTGAGAATATAAATATATACATACATATATGTATATATATATGTATATATATGTATTTTAGGGAGGGTAATCTAGCAGATACAAATACTTCCTTTCTAGAAAACAGTATAAGATATTACCCTACACATAGGAGACATACAAAACAATCCTCTTTGTTTTGATCAGTATTTGTAAAATTCTCTCAGGGTGGTAGAAACTTAATCTTGATAAGTACAGATTCCACCATAGATACCAGGGTTGTGTCTGTGTAGTGTCCAGATGTCCACATGGTGATGTGAATTTAATCCTCAAGGTCGTTATCTATCCATACCAGCATCCATTGTGATGCCACACACTTAACCATGAAGATTGTTGCCAAGTCTTGACCATTTTCTTGACATTAAGCTCTCTTTAAGGATCAGCTTTCTCTCAGCCAGTCCTGTGGCTCTTTGTAGGGGGCAAACCCTATGAAGCTGCCTCAGGCTGTCTGCCTAAACACAACACTCAACCATTTTCATTCTGTCGTCCTGCCACTACACTGAGTTCTATCTGGGAACGGGGGCATTGATTTTGTTGTTCTTACATCCCCCAAACTGATTTGGGGCTTTCTTGTTCCCCTTCCTCTCTGGGGCTGAATCTTGGGGGAGAGGCAGTAAAAGTGTATGGGGTTCTTTCTTAGGAGCTGTAATAGGCACAGATTATTCTCACTTCAAATGAAAGAAATCCTAACCAACAGTGGTTTAAACAATTAATTATCTCACACAACAAGAGGTCTGGAGACACAGGCCAGGACTGGCATAGCAGCTTCACTATATAACCAGGAATTCATCTTCCTGCCATACTTCCACTTTGTTACCCTCAGCTATTGGCTTTTGTCATTGTGTTTGTCACCACTGTGCTTGTCATGTCCGAATGGGGAAGGGCTATATGAGGTACAAGGCATTATAAGGGGAAAATCCTCTATAAATGTTGCAAAATACATCTCACTATGGTTACAAGTACACAGAAACCCACCCAAATTAGGCCAAGGTAGAAAGAGAATTTGTTGGTTGGATGTAAGTATATCTCATGGACCTAAGGATAGGAAGTATAGCTGAACTTCACTGTGGACTAGACGGAGGAACTGGAAAGCTGTTATGAATCAGTACAGCTGTTATCCCTTCCTTTTCTGGGCACATGATCTCTTATGCTCTGCTTTATTTTTCTTTCTTGGCATTGGCTTTTTCTACTTCTCTGTGTACAAAGTAGAAAATGGTCACTTTAGCCTTAACAGTTCAAAGGCAAACTAAGATTGAGTAGCATCTCTTATGTTTTAAATTCTCTGGGGAAAGAATATGATTGGTCCAATTTTGGTGGTATGTTAATCTTTAATCCAATCAGTGACCATGGGGATGGGGTCAAATGACTTAGCAGTTCTTAGTAACTAAGGGAGAATACTCTTGAGAAGGGACCATGGGCGTGTGTGTGTGTGTGTGTGTGTGTGTGTGTGTGTGCGTGTGTGTGTGGCAGTGGTTGTTGGAGAAGAAACAATGGATAGCTCTACTACTCTCTTGATACCCTAATCTACTGAAGGATAAATCAAATTAACCATTCATTCTACAGACATTGGTCTCACTTGTTCTTCCCCTTATGCTCTCTCTCAGAGTGTCAGTACTGCTCATCTAGTTGCCTACATTATAAACTCTGTACAAACCAATAAGCAACACAACAGCTAATATTTATTGAGTATGTGTACTATGTGATAAGCATTCTATGTGCATTATTTTAAATTCAACCACATAACAACTCTACAAATAGGTATTATCTATTTTATAGATAAGCAAAGTGAAATTTAGAGATGTTAAGTCAAGCTTTCAACATCTCTTTTGGATTACTGCAGTAACCTCCTGTCTCCCTGCCTCTGATCTGACCCCTCCTATCCTTTCTCTGCCTGTCAATCATAGTGGTATTTCGAAAACACAAATTTGATCATGCTGCTTTCCTTCTTAAAACCCTTCTATGGTTCCCTCAGGATAAAGTCCAAATTCCCTTGCATGATGTATAAAGCCTTTCATGATCTGGGTAGCTATCACCCTACCAATCTCTATCCTCATCTCTTTCAGTCTTGCACCTCGCAGTCTATCCTCAAGCCACACAGATTATTTGCAGTTCTTAACACTTCATTTCTTACTTCTGCACAACAACCCTGTAGCCATTCTCCCTGCTGACTCCTGCACATTACCCACATGCAGGATTAAGCTTAGATGCTACCCTATTCAGAAGCCTTCTCTGATTGAATTCAGTGCTCCTCCTTTTTACTTTTGTATCACTCAGTGATTTTCTCCTATACTTATCACACCATACTGTAATTGTTTGTAAACTTATTCTGTCTCTTGCACTGGATTGTAAAGTCATTGAGTGGAAAGATTATGTCAGGTTTAGTACTGAAAACCCTAAGATTAGGGTAGTGCTTGGTGCATAATAGTTGCTCAATAAATATTTGTTAAATGAATGAATCCTTGGTAGAATTCTGGAAGAACTCGAAAAGCTACCTGGAGAGAAAGAGATATTCAATATTTCTTGTTTAGTAAATGGATTATTCTGACAGCTATTTCCCCTTAGCCCTATTTTTTTGGCTTATCATTTATAAAAATTGAGCAGATACAAATTTAAAAATTGATAAAATTAACTGTGAAAACACATCACAAAGTAATAAAATAAGAAAGTGATATAAAACAATAAGTAATAGTGTTAAACCTAATGTAAGAAGAAGAACGCCGAATGCAGTGACAAAGTTGTGAGATTGGGGGAGAAAAAGCAAGGAACTGAAAATTCTTTTCACTGCTTTCTAAATTGAATGTATATTGCTGGTAATATTTCATTTAATTCTTACAATAATTCTTTGAGGTTGATATGTTATGCCTGTATTAAAACTAAGGAAATTAAAGATCCGATTAGAGCAAAATAAACTGAATGATTACACAAGAAACTCTCTACAGATAAGCACATAAAAGAAATGAAAATCAACCTTAGAAAATATTGTGGAGAATATGCGAAGGTAAACCACTCTACACCCTAAATGATTCTTTTGCTGGGTCTGGGCTCCTGTATCAGCTTTCCAGCTTTCTCTCCTAAAGCGATTTCCTTCACTTTCACCTTCTTTGAATGTAGGGATATGTCCTTCCTTTTACCTGGATGAATTCCATCTCCTTCCTCAAGCTTTGTCTCACTTAAGTTGCTTCTTGAGTGAAATTTGCTTCATTAGACCCGCTTTCTGATTTAATTAAACTCTTTCGACCCTAGCAAAGCACCCTGACTTCTCTCTCAGAGAATTATCAGCAACAGAGCAGTAAATGTCAACACAAAGCCGACTATTACTGTAGATCACTCAGGGGGAAAAAGAAAAAGATAAAATCCTTAACAGTGGTAGTGTTTAAGTGACTATATTCTGCCCTGTGAGAACGCCTGGAGTCATTTTTAACTTCCACCATTTCCTACTTCTCAGTTGGGTCAGTTTTCTGAACTTTCTAAGTCTCAGTTTTCTTGCCTATGAAAAGAGGATCCTAGTAAAAGTCTCCTACCTACCTACTCCAGAACTTCTGTGAGGGCCAAATTAGAGGAGGTACGTGAAAATGCTTCCCAAACATTTGGTAAAACGCTGTAAAATGTTTGTACCTGGCTACAGACGAGATCACGACAACAAGTTGTATTCCTGTGTTGAAGAAACTCAAAGGAGGCTAGTCGTTAAGGAGAGGAAGCCGAGCGTTGCCATGTGACGTCATCACCCAGCGCTTGCCGCGACGGTTTCCGGGTTGGGCTCAAGGCAGCCTTCTGCGTCATGGGGACTTGGCAGCGTTTGCTGCTTTTTGGGGGGGCGTCGCTTCGGGGCTGCGGCGGGGCCTGTGTCCCGCTTGGGGGAGGCCGAGTGTTGGTTTGGGGGCGCCAGGTCCGTGGTGCTGCAGAGCAGGTGGAGGCGGGCGGGTCCGAGACGCTGGGGCGCCAGGGCTGCGGGTGCTCTGCAGTTGCCTCTTGCCGAGGACTCACTTCACTGCCTCGTGGGCACCCGCCCACTTGGCGGCTCAGTGAGACCCCAATTCTGGTCGTCCTCACTTTCCAGGCGGGCCCCCAGTGGGACCAGGCCGAGGCTTGGAGGGGAGTAAAATAGATGGTTAGAACATGGATGTGTGACTTGCACTTGTTTTCTTAGTGTTGGTTTATTTAGAAAATAGGTTAAAGAGAAGGAAAACACGTGGAGGATTTAACTCTGGAAAGAGGCAGCTTATTTACTTTCCATTTTTAACGTCTGCGTATCCTGGCAAATAAATTTCAATTTAAACAATGTGTCTCTGCAATTGCGATCAATAGCAATAGGTAAATAACACTAAAGGCCTGAATAGTGGAGATGAGCAGAATTAGAGTAGAAAAGAAAGCCCTGTTAATTGCAAATACTGAATTGTTTTTACTTTTACAGCGTGATAATGGAGATGGCTTGTTTTAAAACTGTCTTTTTTCTTCTTCTTAAGTTCTCTGGTGCTGAGAGTGAGACCCTAAAACAAAGAAGAACACAAATCATGTCTCGAGGACTTCCAAAGCAGAAACCAATAGATGGTGTTAAACAAGTTATAGTTGTGGCTTCTGGAAAGGGTGGAGTTGGAAAGTCTACTACAGCAGGTATTATAGGATATTAATTCTCATCTCGATTAGGACTTCATGCCAACTGGCAAGTGCACAATATTAAAATTATAGTTTTGTTCTTAAAAAAGTATTTGTGAAGTTCCTAACAGCTGCTTCCTTAGGATGAGGAGTTGGTAGTGATTGGGAGCTTAGATTTTGGAGTTAGACAAAACTAGATATGTAGCCAGGTCTTTGACTCCTTAACTGAGGAAAAGGTGGTCAGGTTGCCCATTACATCTTCAGTTTACTTAACTGTAAAATGGCAATGATTATAATCTTTTTCATAGGATGGTTATGCAAATTAATTAAACAAGCTAACTACTTAGCCCACTGTCTCATACATAGTAAGTACTCAATATTTGGTTGCTGTTATTATTATTATTAAACATTTAGTAAGTTTAACACTAAATTTATTTCTGTTCTTTGATGTTCTTTTCTAGTCTTTTTCAGTGTACACATAGCTAAGTAGTTGCAATGAGACTGTTTACATTATTGTGGCTTATTTTCATTTAGCCATAATATAATTTTCAGCATTTATAAAGTCAACATAGATCTAATATTTGAAAATGTTTTAATTATTTAAAATATCTTTTAAGCTTTGTATTTTTTATATTAATATACAGGAGCAGAGAATTTGTTTTTTGGTGGCTTTTTAAAATTGATTATAGATTTCATTGTGACTGAAATGCTGCTTTCAGAACCCATAAAAGAAGTGCCCCCAGAAATAGAAGAGTTACCATCCAAGACTAATGACCAGGTATTCCCAGATGTCTTCAAAAGAAACTTTATTTCTAACAAAAATTTTCAGTGTAATAATGTAAAAAGGTAACTCCCCTCCTCCCAATTCAACTCAACAGAAGCAACTTGTATTATTAATTTGGAGTCATAAAGCTCTCAAGTCTTATTGTTGCCTCATTTAAAATTTTCAATCATTTTAATAGGAATGGCTTAATTCAGGTCTTATCCAACCTATCTTTTTTGTAGTTGATTTAAAAAAAGTGACCATCCTTATTTCATTTTGTTAATTTTGGCACAGTTCTACACTGTTAAAGATCTTTTATGTATGTATGTATGTATTTTTTTTAGCTTTTGACTCAAATTTCTGCATTTTTTTAAAATTGAAGAGTAGCTGATGTACAATATTATATAAGTTTCAGGTGTACAACATAGTGTACAATTTTTAAAGGTTATAGCCCATTTATAGTTATTATAAAATATTAGATATATTCCCTGTGTTGTACAATATTTCCCTGTAGCTTATTTATTTTATACATAGTAGTTTGGACCTCTTAATTACCTACTCCATCTTGCCCCGCCCCCCTAAGATCTCTAAATTTTTTTTTTTTTCCTCAGATAGTAACCTAAAGTTGGGGCATATATGTACCTTAAAATTCCTTAGTTCCATTGAAACCAATGACATTTTCAAATAAAAAGGGCCAGGTACAGAGTTCTGTGACTTTCACTAGAGATCTTGTGTCTTGACTCAAAGCCATATTTGGTAATTCCTAGATGCAGCAGTTTTATAGTTGTACAACCAGCTACAAATCCAACTGTATAGTGTTATTAGCTCAGTTTTTTCCCGTTTTGACCTGAATGTAATTGTGGAAGAGTTTTTCAGATGTTTTGAAGAAATTAAGATTTACTAAGTATTGTAGTTATGATAGACCCCTAATATACTATTTGATAGATACTATATTATTATTAGAAATAATTAGTGATTGTTCTTAATGAATTTATGCTATATCCTACACATTTTGGCTTTCTTTCTTAAGGATCTACAATCCACCTATTTGGTATTTTGTTTTTAAAATTTGGAAGCTCTTAGTTTTTGGTTCTAGAATCCACCTCTACTTGTGTTTTGAAAATTCAGAGTACATTTACCTGTATTCAGTGGTGTGAATCCTTTTGCAAACTGTGTTTACTTGGACTGGTTAAAGATGGAAAGTGTTTTCGTGATAATAGCTATATGTTCTTTGGGTTTTGTGCAATATAATTTGTTGGGTCTGTAGGCTAGCACTCGTGTAAAACAAATTGTTTATTGTTTTTGGTTGTAAGATCGTCTGTTACCATGGAATGTGACAGCAGTTAGACAGGAAAATATATGAGAAAATGTACAGTGTTTGACACATAAGTGCTTCAGTAAGTGTCTCTTCCTTGCGTTTTTTTCTTTGTTAGCATCATACCACTTGTCCCAAATAATTGGCCTATATTGTTTCATAACAGCTCTATCTGCATACATAAGCCTTAGAAATAGATTATTTCTATGTAACTCTGTTAGTATTCTATTTCTTTCCATTATATGTATTTATTCCTGTTCCAAACTATCTCAAAATACTTCCTATTTGAATATGTATGCTGGAGATACTTTGGATTAAAATGATGACCTTTGATTAATACAGACATGCTCTGTGATTCTATTGTGTAAATGCAGAAAGACCCTCACATTAAAATGAATTACTCTCTAAAAGTTTTTGCCTAAAAGTTGGATTATGTTTAACCTGAAATTCAGAATTACTTTATAATTTATAAAAATTAATTTGTCAAGTGCCATGCCTTAGGCATAATACTATAATACATACAGTATTTGATTTAATTCTCACAACAGTTATGAAATAGGACCTCATTTTATAGAGGAAGAAACAGGCTTGGGGTAAAATATTCTACTCAAGATTATAAAACACAGAGTGGTGAAACTGGGGTTTGAACCAGGTCATCCTTGAAAGTTTATGCTCTTAAATACTTTAAAGGAAACAATATCGGCATCATTTATAACACTGTTCTGTAAGGAATTGTGATCCACAGTATGAGGGTCTATTTATTTATCAGTTTTGGGAATGTGTTACTTTTGGACCTCTTTTTCATCTCAGATGTAGCATATCCTTATTGCTGGGCTAAAGGTGGTTTTGGGGACTACTGCTTTCCCCCTTTATGTCTTTGGGATTCACTAACAATAGGCACTTTTGGGAAAATGTTTCACTGCCTTGCCTTTTACCTTCCTCTCTTCCCTCTGCTCACTGGTCCAACCTTTCATTTACGTGGGTATTTGTAAGTTAGATATTTGGAATTCCTGCATTACCAGCATTTATTTTTAAAAAGCAATAGGATCACATCCATTTTTATTTATTAAAAAGTAGGTAATTTTTCTGCAAAATATATTTTTGAAAATAATGATATATACCATTAACATCATTTTAAAAAAACTTGGATTATTTAAATACAATTGTAACAGATGATAAATGGATTAATTAAAATGATAATTTTGGGGCAGACATCTACTGTTTATGTTGAAATGTTACTTTCTTTTTTGTGTTTTTTACTTTCGGTATTCTCTCCATGTCCTTGTTTTTCATAATGGAGATATATTAAAACTTTATTTGCCTTGGTTGTTACATTGAACATATTAAAAGACAATGAATTTTAGTAGAAGGAAAGTTACTAAATTTAATTACATTTTTGTTTCTTACAGTGAACCTTGCACTTGCTTTATCAGCGAATGATTCGGTAGGTGTTTATTAATAGAAATACTAATTTATTAAAATGTTTTTTAAGGCAATGATTAAGAGCATACTGATGTTTTTCATTTACTCTGTTGGGCATATAGTGTAGCTCTAGTCATTTGCATGTCTTTAAGGAACTCAAAAATCTGCCATAAGTACTGGTTATCTTTAATAATGATGATGAACATGGAAGGGGACCACTAGTCAAGGAATTCAGGCAGCCTCTAGAAGCCAAGGAAATGGCTTTTTCCTTAGAGCCTCCAAAAGGTATGTAATCCTCTCAGCACCTTAATTCTAGCTCATTGAAACCTATTTTGAACTTCTGTGATAATTTCTTACAGTAGGAGTGGAAAACTGATACAGGAAGTCAATTTTCTTAGTTCTTAAATTTCTGAAGATGTCTTTATTTTGCCTTAATATATGATAATTTGACTAGATGTAGAATTCCAGGTTTACAATAATTTCCTCTCTGAACCTTGAAAACAATATTCCATTTTCTTCTAGCATGCTAATGAGATGTCTGATGCTAGTCTGATTTACATTGCTTTGTAATAACCTGTGTTTTTCCCTTTAAAGCTTTTAAGAGTTTTCTTTATGTCTTTTAAGTTTAGAAATGTCACAAATATGTGTCTGGTTGTTGGCTTTACATTTTTTTACCTGTTTGGAAACTGGCCAAGCAGTACAAGGCTTGAGTCTTTCAGCTCAGGGAAAATTTCGTCATTGATTACTTTTTGTGATGTGTTTGTTCTTTCTCCAGAAACCTATTAGGTAGACATTGACCCTTCATGCTTGTTAATTTTTCTCTCATGTTTTCCATCTCTTTGTCTTTTGCTCTGTGTTTTGGAAGATGTCTTAGACCATTTTCCACACTGCTGTATTGGGTTGTAGTTGTTATTTAGCCCTTCCAATTTTTAATTTGGAAATGATATTTTTTCCAGTTTTCCAGAACTGTTTTATTTTCCAGTTGCTATCCACTTAAAAAAAAAAAAAGGTTGCACCATTCGTTTGAGTCTCTCTGAGGATGCTAATTAGAATTAATAAAAAATGTTCCTTTTAATGATCTCTATTTACTTAGCATGGTGGTTCTTATAATGTGGTCCTCAGACCAGCAGAATCAGCGTCACCTGGGAACTTGTTAAACATACAAAATCTTGAGCCCCAGACCTACTGAATCAGAAACCCTGAAGGTGGAGTCCTACAGTCTTGTTTTAATCAGCCCTCTAGATGATTTTGATGCATGCTAAAGTTTCAGAACCATGGATATAGAGTTTTTTAAAACTCTAAATTGCTAATGGCATCCTTTTTTGTTTTCTACTGTGATTATATTTTTAATTTGGTTTTAAGCTATTTTTTCCTCTTGTTTCAATGGGAATTTGGAAGAGAGATATTCATGTATGATTAGGCAACCTTATTGAAATAAAAGCCAGTAATATTTTTTTTTCTTGGCTGCGCCCTGCAGCATGCGGGATCTTAGTTCCCCAACCAGGGATCGAACCGTTGACCCCTGGAGTGGAAACTCAGAGTCCTAACCACTGGACTGCAAGGGAAGTCCCGCCAGTAATACTTTTTAAAATATAGTTTTTATTAGAGTACTTAGTTATCTTGGAGAAGGGACCCCATCTTCTTTAAAGAATGGAGGAAACAAGGAAAATTCAACGGATGAGAAGGTAAATAAATTCATAGGTGTGGGGAATCTTTTAATTTGGTTATCATTTCAGCCAAAGCTTTGATTCTTAAGACAATGTGAAGTAACTATATAAGAAGCAATCGAAGGATGAAAAAAATAGTTAAAAAGGGGTTGATTCCTTCATGTTAGATGTTGCTAGTTTTGATGAGATGGTAGCTCAGATTTTTTTTTTCTTTTTTCTTTTTTTTTCCCTTTCAGGGAGCAGGGATGGTCAGCTTCATATTTAATGCTTTATATGTATAACAGGGAAATTGGCAACAAGGAAGGAAAAGCAGTGTTTTTCCCTGGGCCAGTTTTTCAGAAAGCATTTTAGTGTCCTTAAGTGTTTTTAAATATGTTTGTAAAATCTACTTTAGGAACGGCTTAAGTATTCTGTTATCCAGATGAAGGTTTTTTTTTTTCATTTCTTGATATTTTGTAGCAAAGTTAGTTTAGAAATTAAAAAGAAGAAAGACAGGAAATTTGAGAAGCATGCTATGGAACTCAAAGATAATCTGACATAATCCAGTGTTTTACAATTGGCTACTGTCTTGTCCTCTTAATCTATATATACTTAGGAAAGATCACTTTTATACAGCATGTATACTTGATTAATAGTGTTTTTATTTGGGAACAGCATGTTTGGCTTAAACTGTGATCTGCCAGAGGACTGCCTGTGTATAGAAAAGAAGATAAATCATATATAAATATATGATTTATATGTATCTGGCAGTCTTATAATCTGTATTGCCCAATTTAAGATGTTATTAATATTACACTTATTTAGAGGACATGTTTGGTCTTTAGGGGAAACTCAAGGTTCCTCCAAGCCCTTCTCATTGCCTGAGCTGATACATATAGATGGCTTATGTCCGAGGACATTTATTGGGACATGGTACTAGGGTATGTTGCTTTATGGGCTGAAAACCTTCAGTTAGGATGGTGTCTTTGGAGCTGATCTAGTGATTCATTCCCATGGAGTCTTAATTCCATGGAGCTTATATTGTAAGAGGGGTCTCTGACCTGCTTACCCTTAGGCCAACTTTTGTTCTTTTACATCTTTATTGGAGTATAATTGTTTTACAATGTCGTGTTAGTTTCTGCTGTATAACAAAGTGAATCAGCTACATGTATACATATATCCGCATATCCCCTCCTTCGAGCCTCCCTCCTACCCTATACCACCCCTCTAGGTGGTCACAAAGGACCGAGTTGATCTTGCACTAGTTATCTGTTTGGTAGTGTATATATGTCAGTGCTACACTCTCACTTCATCCCAGCTTTGCCTCCCCCCCTACCGCCCCCACCCGCTCCGTCCTCAAGTCCACTCTCTACATCTGTGTCTTTATTCCTGTCCTGCTCCTAGGTTCATCAGAACCAGTTTTTTAAAAAAAATTCCATATATATGTGTTAGCATATGGTATCTGTTTCTCTCTTTCTGACTTACTTCACTCTGTATGACAGACTCTAGGTCCATCCACCTCACTACAGATAACTCAATTTTGTTTCTTTTTATGGCTGAGTAATATTCCATTGTATATATGTGCCACATCTTCTTTATCCATTCATCGGTTGATGGACAGTTAGGTTGCTTCCATGTGCTTAGGCCAACTTTGCCAAAGACCCTGCTAACTCTTTTCTCCTATTTTCCTTGGGTTGGTGCTTGCCCCTTTTCAGCATTGGAGTGGGAAGATCTAATAAGATTAATTTGTTGGTCTAGGGGAAACAGGTCCAGGAAGTTATTCATTTTACTTGTAATGTTGGCCTTATGATCTCTAAACTGGGTTATGTAAACCCCAAGGGGTATGCAAGATAGGCCATTGGAATGTAGAAGGGAAATTTATCTTTTCTTTTTTTTTAAAAATTTATTTGTTTTTATACAGCAGGTTCTTATTAGTTATCCATTTTATACATATTAGTGTATACATGTCAATCCCAATCTCCCCATTCATCCCACCACCACTCCCACCCCCTGCCACTTTCCCCTCTTGGTGTCCATACGTTTGTTCTCTACATCTGTGTCTCTATTTCTGCCTTCAAACCGGTTCATCTGTACCATTTTTCTAGGTTCCACACATATGCATTAATATACGATATTTGTTTTTCTCTTTGTGACTTAACTTCACTCTGTATGACAGTCTCTGGATCCATCCACGTCTCTACAAATGACCCAATTTCTTTCCATTTAATAGCTGGATAATATTCTATTATATATGTACAACATCTTCTTTATCCATTCGCTGTCGATGGGCATTTAGGTTGCTTCCATGTCCTGGCTATTGTAAATAGTGCTGCAATGAACACTGGGGTGCATGTGCCTTTTGAATTATGGTTTTCTCTCTGGGTATATGCTCAGTAGTGGGATTGCTGGCTCATATGGTAATTTTAATTTTAGTTTTTTAAGGAACCTCGATACTGTTTTCCATAGTGGCTGTATCAATTTACATTCCCACCAACAGTGCAAGAGGGTTCCCTTTTCTCCACACCCTCTCCAGCATTTGTTGTTTGGAGATTTTCTGATGATGCCCATTCTAACTGGTGTGAGGTGATACCTTACTATAGTTTTGATTTGCATTTCTCTAATAATTAGTGATGTTGAGCAGCTTTTCATGTGCTTCTTGACCATCTGTATGTCTTCTTTGGAGAAATGTCTATTTAGGTCTTCTGCTCATTTTTGTATTGGGTTATTTGTTTTTTTAATATTGAGCTGCATGAGCTGTTTATATATTTTGGAGATTAATCCTTTGTCCGTTGATTCATTTGCAAATATTTTCTCCCATTCTGAGGGTTGTCTTTTCATCTTGTTTATGCTTTCCTTTGCTGTGCAAAAGCTTTTAAGTTTCATTAGGTCCCATTTGTTTAGTTTTGTTTTTACTTCCGTGACTCTAAGAGTTGGATCAAAAAAGGTCTTTGCTATTGTTTTCTTTGTTTCTATTTCATTTAGTTCTGTTCTGATCTTTATGATTTCTTTCCTTCTACTAACTTTGGGTTTTGTTTATTCTTCTTTCTCTAGTTTGTTTAGGTGTAAGGTTTGATTGTTTATTTGAGATTTTTATTGTTTCTCGAGGTAGGAATGTATTGCTATAAACTTCCCTCTTAGAACTGGTTTTGTTGCATCCCATAGGTTTTGGATCGTTGTCATTTGTCTGTAGGTATTTTTTGATTTCCTCTTTGATATCTACAGTGATCTCTTGGTTATTTAGTAATGTATTGTTTAGCTTCCATGTGTTTGTGTTTTTTACGTATTTTCTGCCTGTAATTTATTTCTAATCTCATAGCGTTTTGGTTGGAAAGATGCTTGATATGATTTCAATTTTCTTAAATTTACCGAGGCTTGA